GTAAGCTCTGATCAGGGGGACTGTGAGCACAATTACCTTCTTTTCAAATCCTTCTGTGACACTGCGGGAGGAAAAAGGACTTTGAAACTTGAAAGGAAAGAGCTTGCTTTCAACCTCAAAAGCTAGGAGGAAAGGGCTCTGAAATTTGCTCAGTATTCCCAATTCACCATTAGCCTGTTTCTTCCTTTAGCCTCAAGGCATTCTCCGCTTTTTGAAAAGATGTTAAGAAATTCAGTCACAATAGAGAGCCTAGTTTTGAACATGTTTCACTCGGTCCATTGAGGTCTGGTCTTCAGCCTTTGTGTGGGGTGAATTGAGCTGAGCAGCAATCTGGTTGGGGAGAGGTGAATGAGCAGTCTCTGTGCAGTCACAAATTCTGGCAAAGAAAAGATTACCCTTTCCTTTATTTTACAATATGCATTCCTGTACAATCCTGCTAGTGGCAATATGCAGAGCCGAGCTTGTGCTTAGGTCAATATGGAGCACTTGGTTTATAGCAACTCTTGTTAAGTTTGTCTTGTAATTGAAGCTGCTGTTGACCTTGCTTGGAGACCATTTGTAAAACCGTTTATTTAGCATAAACTGAAATAATAAACCGTCCTTCTCTTAGGCTGATTGTGATAGGGTGACATTAGTTTGATTTAATGATTAGCCGCCTGACCCCTCAGCTAGAGAGAGCTGCTTGAATAGGGAGAGTTCACTAGGAAGCACACAGGAAGAATACTAATGAGCTTGTTAAATTTAGCATGGCACCAACCACTTTTAATTCCTCTAATGGGAGAAGCACTGCCTTTGAGAGAGAGGGAGGGAGATGGGGGCGGGGGTGTGGGGGGGGGGGGGGGGAGAAGGGAGAGGGAGAAAAAGAGGGAGGAATGCCCATGTCCTGGTAGCCAGAGAATTTTGGTCAAGAGAAGAGAAGAGCTTAGAGGGAACATCAGGCAGGGTCTCTTGGACTGAGTTGTAAGTACCTTGTTTTTTCTCTTACTCTGCTGAAGTGCTGTCAGATCTCTCATGAGATAGCAGTGCTCTCTGGAAGTTGCAAGCAGAAATATGGTGATGAAACTTAATATATTAAGAGATTTAACTGGGCTGGTGTTGTTTTGTTTAATCAGGGGTGTTTCTGAAGTGTGTTGGGATTGACTTTTAGTGTGCTCTATCAATAGATTTCAACTTTTTTTTCAGTTGCTGACTTGAGGTGCTTTAAAGTAAAATAGCTTCTACTTTGTCTTGGTCTATGGTAAAAAAAGGCAAAAAAGTTCAACAGGTAAAGAAAGTTTAAAGGATTTTTGCCTTAGGTTTTGGCTTGTGCTGATTTTTTTAAAACTTTCTGAGTAAATTAGCTGTGCAATTAAAAGTGTGTTTACTCAGGCATGCTGTCCAGTGTGAGTTTTTTGAGAAAGCTTTTTGATTGAGTGAGAGGTGCTCCATTAAGTGAGGTGCTCAGCACTTCTAATAAAATTGGCTTCTGATCAAAATGGCAGGACTAAATCAGGCATTTCTCAGTGGATGTGAGAATCCTGGATTAAAGTGATCATTCAAGACTGGGCACTTCTAACATGTGTCTCTGGCTATTGGCTTGTTAAGTCAGAGAAAGGGTGTATGTGAAGAAAGAGAAGCTTATGCAGATTGCTCTTGGGCATGATTGCTTTTTTCTTTTCTTATTTAACCCTTCACTCTTACACTGGCAAAAGGTGGGAGGAATTGTACTGGAGTTGGTGGGCTGCCACCAGCTTCATTGTTTACTTTGGCATTTGTCTCTGCAGCATTTTAATAAATCAGATGCATCTTTTGACCCTAAAGCTGGTCACTTCTAAAACGTGAGCAGAGCAGTAACAGAACAGTTCTCACTTATTTGGCTGTAAAACCCCTTTGGCAGATGCTGCTGGAGAAGTGGGCTGTTTGCTTACATTTTTGCTTTAGAATCCCACTTGTTGCCATGGTGGACAGTGTGTTTCTGTCAATAATTTGGCCTGGCGCGCCTTGCCCGCACTTACTCTTGAAACTTTATTGAACGCTTCAGTTGAACCAGAACAAGATTAGACAGCTTTCCCCTTTTGGCACGCTGGAGTGGCTCGCCTGCCGTGAGAGCCGGCAGCTTCACTGCAAGAGGAGTTTCCCGCTCGGCGCCGGGGAGCTCCTGCAAACTGCTCGGCTCTTAGCGTCCTGCAGCGTGGGTGCTGTCAAATTTCTCATCTGCCCCCATCACCAGCATCCCAGTGGTGTGAAGTCAGTGCTTAGCGAGCTGTTTGGCTGATGAATAAACCTTATTATTATGGCAAAAATGCCATAGTGTTTAGTTAAATACTTCTGGGGCATTTTTTGTGTGGCAGAAAACATCCAGAAACTTTTGACTTGTAATGGCACATGGCAATAACTTTATAACGGGAGAGAGATCATTGATACAGAAGAAAAAATAGTTTTTTGTTTTCTTTTTTTCTCAAGTAACCAAAAAAGGGAAAACCTTATTAAAACAAACCATGTTTTCCCTTTTGTTTCTAAATTACTGAAAGTAGGTTTTGAATTTAATTCAGCAATTAGAAAAATCAGCCTTTACCATAACAGTCACTAGTACCTTGATTCATGACGTGTTCATGTTTTGAGAAGAAAAGTATAAAAGTGGAGCTCGCACATAAATGTCAGCTTCTTGTTGTATCCCAGGATGGCAGTTTTAACAAATATTATCTTTATATGGAAGAGTAAAAGAACTGAAATCCTATCTGATCATCTGAGTGATTATACAGCCCCACAAATCACTCTAGCTTTCTTCTTTCTGAACTGTTTTAGCACTGGTTAGCTTGCTGTACTTAAGAGTCTGTCAGAATTTCAAATGAAGTGTAATACCCTGTTTTTATAGGAGTTTACGTCTCATCAGTGAAAGTTCACTCTAGGTTGAAATTTAACATAAAAGACTCTGGCTAAAGAGAAACCTGATGGAAAATATATCTTTGGGCTGATTTTTTTTTTTTGTTTTGTTATACAAGCGGGTTTCTAAAAACCTCATATAAGTTTTAAAGTTTTAGTCCCTGATTTGCAGTTCTCTAACTAAAACCAGCTTCAGTGTAAAAAGTTGAAACCTTAAACCCTGCTAAGCCAGAGCAGGGACCAATGGCCATGCATATTAATAAAAAGTAGGAAAGGGCAAAGGGTTTAAACTCTGTAATGTTGTTGTCTAGTTCCATTAACTCTTTCTTCTCAGACTCAACCCTGGAAAAGCTCTGTATGTAGAATTACTGGCTGCAAAAAGAATTCTGTCCCTGGAAGATAAGTCAGCAACCCTGGTTGCTGTAATACTTGGAGATAGAAAAATAATTAAGTGCTCAGTAGGCTGTGCTGCTGAGTTTTTGTGTTGTTGCTACCTGGGGGGGAGAGGAGGCAGAGAAAAAATTGGTTAGCATTTCATTCAAAGCAATGGTGTGGCTAATTTACACATATAATGGCCAGGTATCTGTATGTCCAGAGCTTGTTTCTAATCTAATTCGTGTAAAGGCGCATAGGTTGAGTCAGGCTGGTCAGCCTTGCTGAGTGTAGTCACCCAGTGAGTTGTTGGCTGCTGCTTTTGCTCTGTGAACAAGTACACCAGGGAAAGGTACAAGTGAAAACTTAGCCCTGACCTCAAATCTCTGACAACAGAAGTGCAGTCTTGGCGCTGGTGTCAATCATTCTTCCTTGCATGTGGATTGTAGAGTAAGAGCACTTGAGTTTTATTTCCTAAGGGTGTTTTCATTTCCTTTTCTAGTTACCATATTTCTGCCCAGCATTTAATAATTTGAGATTCCTTGTGGACTTCTAGAACTGCAGAGCAACTTTGAAATGAAGAATCTTTATCAGTATTCCTTCAAGATGTATTGGTGTACGCTTGCACGTGCAATGTGGTAGAGGGAATAAGGCTGTACCTGGAGCATTGGTATTGGCCAAGGATTACAGGCAGCAAGCAGTCATGCTTGTTTAGAGAAACATCTGTGTTTTAAACCAATAATGCAACTGAAGGAGAGCATTTACATTAGGGACTTATGTACCTAGCAAAGCCCCTCTGCCACATGGCATGTGTGAAATGTAGCTAGGAGCACGCATCTTGATTTTGAGGAACAGAACCATTTTGTCTGCTTTTTGAAGGGTGTATGTAGTCCCTAGGGGTTAAAATTCTTGTGGGAGCAGTGGGTTGTTTTAGCACCTAGTCCTGGAGCTGTCTGCAAGGAAGACTGGTAGAGCCACGGTCAGGAGGCTCTTCTCCCCTTACAAGGCCTAGAGGCTTTCTCCAAACTAGGGCTTGGGTTTGATGCTCTTAGTTATGATTATTTTACCCCCAGCTTTTTCTTCCCCCTTGTTCATTAAGAGTTTGCGGCTTTGTTTGAGTGGATATGGGAAAAAGAGGTAGGGGGAGTATATGCAACCATCCTGCACGTGGTGACACTGTCAGAGCAGGTGGCCTTGCTTGTGCTCGCCTGATGCTGCTGGTCCTGTATCTTGAGCAGTTGTACCCATTTTATTGCTGCCCACCTTGGTTCTGATCACTGCCAACCTCCCTGCAAGGTTTCAGCCCCTCACACAGGCAAACCCCAGGGACCTGGAGCTGGGCTGCAGAGCTGTGGTGGGTGGCTGGGCGTGATTTAGGCCTGGCTGATGGGGTTCATCTTCTCCTCTGTGTGACAAATCATTTCTTGACTCCCCATCAGGGAGCTCCCAGTCTCCTTGTCCCAGAGGCAGGGAAACAGCAAGGCTCTGTCTGTTCCTGCACAATTGATAGCCCCGCTGGAGGAGCATCAGTGCATGGGTGACGGTGATCTACTGCTCAGCTGCTGCTGGCTCTGAATGGGCAAGCGTCCCCAGGCCATCCCTCACAGCCACACAGGCACCTCCTGTCACCAACTTACACCGGGAGGAGGAGGAGGAGGGCAGCGGGGGGAGAACTTTTCTTTATTGTATTTGCTATAAATGGGCTAAAAGTGTGTGTCTCTCTTTTTTCTTCCCTTCTCTCTTTCTTCTCCCTCGTTTTTTTGCAGAGGATGAAAGTCCTGGGCAGACCTATCACAGAGAGAGAAGGAACGCAATCACAATGCAGCCGCAGGGTGGGCAAGGCCTCGGCAAGATCAGTGAAGAGCCTTCCACGTCGAGTGAGGAAAGGGCCTCATTAATCAAGAAGGAGATCCATGGATCTATATCGCACCTTCCCGAACCTTCCGTACCATACCGCGGGACGCTCTTTACCATGGACCCCCGAAACGGCTACATGGACCCTCATTACCGTGAGTATTGATCGCTGCCTTATTTGGGGATGCAAAGTTGGAAGGCTGTCAAATTTAATGTGATTTTGTCACTTTGCATTGTCTCTGGGGAGAACTGCTTTATCTGGAGGGAGTGGTGTTTGTGGTAAATGCAATCTCTTTTTTTTCCTGAAGTTAAAAACCAGGGTGCAGTTGCACTGCAGGTAGAAATTACTGCAGGCCTCTGCAAAGTGACTTCCACAGGACATCTCATCTGTTGCTAATCCTCCTCAGCCATCCGGGGTTGTGTTCTGCTCCACCTCCTTAAGACATGAAGAAAAACGGGCCTCATTATAGCTAGCAGAGAAGGAAAATGAAACAGGCCTTAAAAATCCCTCTTTTAAAACAATGTTAAAGTATGTTATTGAGAGGAAGAAGGACCGTGTCCTGTACACTGAGAATTTGGGGAATTGGAAGGCTTAGTTTTGTGCTTTGGGACTCTTTGTTTTGTTTTGGAGGTTTTTTTTAGCCATTCACAAGTGTGTTTGAGAATGCAGGCTTGATGGAGTGTTTTTGCAATTTTCTTTCCCAGCTATAGTTCCCTGAAGTTGTAAGGGGGAGGAAAAAAGGCAAATGGTTTCAACTTCTGAATTCTCACTCAGGCATTAATAAAAAAGTAAGAAATTAACTGACACTTGAACACAGATGTGGAGTGGATTTCTCCACAGGCGCAAAGTATGAAGGAGTTAAGCAATTTTTTTTTTCATCTGTTTCTAGTTTACCAAAAAAAGAGAAAAAAGATCATTTAGTTGTGTCGTAATGAAGTACATCTTGAGGTGTCAAGGCTTGTGCCTTTTGATTATAGATTTATCACCCAGTCAGGATACAGATTTGCCATTTAACCTTTCAGTCTCCAATTCCAGATGATAGGCTTAAGACCCACAAAGAGAGAGCAGTCTGCATTGGTTTTCCTTTTTTTTTAACATCATTCAGAAATTTTAGTGTTTTAAGGCAAAAGGTCATTAGCCAGATGACTGATTAGTGAGGACAGCTGATTAGTGCATGTTTTTTTGCTAAAGAAAGTGCCAGGGATAAAAGCTAATTTTATCCCTTCATTAGTTGGGCTAGCAGCAAAGGGGAATGTTCACTCATCAGGGTGCAGATCAAAGTATGTCTTGCACAACCTTAAGTCTCACCAACCTCCTTTAAAAAAAAAAAAAAAGAGCCTGATTGTTAATAAGGATGGAGGTATTATGAGAAAACGAACACTTGTTGTCTGTATAGTTTAGATCAGTATTTAGGAAAAAAGTTTGCAGTTAAGCTTTCGAGCTCTTTTTCAGTCTAGTCAGTTGATTTTTGTACACCTTCCTCTCCTGCTCTCGTACAGACCTGCTCAAACCCTCTGGGGGAGTTACTCATCTCTCTGTTGAGGAGCACACAGTTGCTGCAGCACACCAGTGGCAGACTCCTGCCAGAGAGGCATGAATGTGCAGTGCAAGTGGCCACTCGTGAGCAGCAGAGCATACAAGTATTACCCTGGGGGTTGGAGGCACCATTCCTAGCTTCTGGTTAGCAAATGCCCAAATCTAGCTTAAAAGAAAGCCAACAAAACAAGCAAGTATTATTGGGGAAGCAAAATAGCTTCTCTGTTTGTAGGCAGTACAGCTGGGGAAAAATGAAATGTGTGACAAAAACAACCCTCAAAAACAACAAACCTTATGCTGCATTTAGTGGGGAAGATTGCCATTTTGACCATCTGACCAGCTGCCAGCTCAGCCATTAAATCTTGTTCAAAGTGTTTCTGAAATTACTGAAGGTTCCGACAGAAGAAAAAGATCTGGTCAGTCAGGATGTGTCTGAGTGGTTTGCAATTAGTTTATTTTGGTTTATTTTCCCAAATTCACCTTTTGACAAGGGTTGTCAAGATGTAATGAAGCTACTGTGTCTGTATTGTGACCATTAATGCTAGCTAGTTGGGCTGTGTGGACTGCTAGCAAAACACTGATGTCAGAAGTTGAAAGAGCACCAGAAGTTCCCCACCATACAACAGCAGAGAAACAGGAGATGAGTTAATTTTAAATGAGCAGCAAGATCTTAAAACAGAAATCTAAGTCAGAAAGCATCAGATGGACAGACTTGCTTCCCTCTCTTGTAATGAGTAGTACATTTGTATTCATTGATTTATAAGGTCCCTCAAGCTATTAATGTCATAAAAAGAGCCATCATGCTTTTATTTACCTTTAATAGCTATGGTACAGAGCGGCAACTAAAAAGACAAATGTCTAGTTAGATTTATAGGAAAGCAGACAATCTTACTGAAATTTTCATAGTGGCTGTATCATTTATATATGTTAGATATGCTTTCATCAGAGTGGTGACTGCATTAAGACTGACACTTTTAGTGGTCCATATGAAGAAGGCTGAATAATGTACACTGTAGCAACAGGTAAAGAACCAGAGAGGCTATTGTTTTCCTCTCTTAATTTCTTGTTAGTTTTGCTGGGCATATGTATAGAAAATGTTTTAATTCAACATAGATGTGTAAACACTTACAGCAATTTCTTAGTTTCCCTGTGGTTGGAAAATATAGACCTCTCAAGATGCCTAATTCGTGCTTCTATTTATACCCACTTTGTATTTAAAAGTGTGGGCAGGCTTCCTGTAACACAGGAAAAGGGAAAACAATTTTTTGAAGAAAGACATCTGTATGTTTTTATGACAAAAAAAGAAAAGGGTGTTTAGTCAGTTGTGTGTAGAATGCATGTTCCTTCCATGAGCTGCAGTTATTAGAAACAACTTGAGTGCTTTGCATTTTTACATGTAAACACGTGTGTGTCTGTTTGTGCATTGCAGGATTTTTTTGTTTTAATTTTTTTCTAATTAAAATGACTGATGTTGTAAATGTTGGTAGTAATAGTTCCCATAAATGTGGAAGAAATCCCTCATTGAGGGGGAGTTTGCTCTCCTGCAGAGTGTGGGTGGGGATAATGGTTGTGTTTCAAGTGAACCAGATTTTCAAACAGCTGGGATGAAACATGCTATGGAGCTGGCAGCCCTTCTGCACTGCCAGAGAGCCCCTCAACCATTTAGCAACTGAGACTGTGAATGTAGTCCCATGCTCAGCTCACAGCCTTCTATTCTCCAACAGATAAAAGAGAAAACACAGGCCTAACCCAGAAATTTTTCTTTTCTGTCTTTTTTGTTATGGATTTCTTAACCACTATTTAAACACAGCTCACAAAGGAAGAGGGAGATGCTGTTTTTGTTTGTTTAACTTCTAAAAACTTTTTTTTTTCTTTAAAAAGGCTTCAGGACAGATGACAGAAGAGCTGGAGTTAGCTCCTTTGTTGAGGAGAGCAGAGTTACTGACCTTAATCACAGTGTTTCTTAAAAGGATTTAAAACCCTGAGTTTCTCAAACACTAATTCCAGTGGTAGTTGGAGCCCCTTGTTAATGTAAATTCCATCTCTAGAGTTGGGGCTGAGGCAGGGAAGATGGGGATAGCAACTTGCCTTTGTTATTTTCTTCCACAATTTTAATTTTCATGTAGATTTATGGCAGTGCTAAGACTGCCTGTCACAGAAGTCATTCTTCATGGAAAAAATGAATCATTCCTGATGTAAACACTTTGATTTAAAACATACTGTTGATATTCTTCCCTGGGTTACACAGTTCGTCTGAAAGAATTGTTAGTACCTAATTAGCAAAACCTGAAGAATTATCTTAAGCAAAAAGCAGTGACAGATCATTTGGCTCTGATCCAAATATTTATATATACAGGAATGTATGGCCCTTGCAGGATTCTCTTTGTGGTAAATCACTTCATCTCAGTGAGGTTACACTAGCTGAAAGCAGGAACTCACTTCTTTCTTTTTTTTTTCCTTTTCCTTTCCTTTTTTTCGCCTCTTCTTACCGAGGATTTATTTTGCTGGTGTTGAAGCTTCTGTATCTGGGGAAGTGGCAACTGCTTATTGCACATTTCACAGGATTAGCCCTCCAAAGGTATTGATTGCCCTCAGTTCCCACTGACTGTTCTTGGGCTTAGCTTTGTAAGGACTGGGCCTTGCATAACTGCCTGAGTTAGATTACTCAGTGTTAGTGTCACCTCAAAATCAATTTGCAACATGAACGAAAGACCCCAGCAAGGAAAATACAATGCTGGTTCACTAGGTACACTTGTTCATTTACTAGCTTTAATTTCTGTTGACAAGAATTCCCCTTCCTTCATATCCCCATTGGAAAGGAAAAGGGAGTGCGGAAAAAAAGGGGAATTCTGTTTCTAAAAATGCAAACTGGAAACTGGAAACACTGTTTTAAACTGCAGTAACTGGAAAGCAATGACTTTTCATGTCAGTGACTCTTGAACCACAGTGGCCAGCTATGTGTGGCACATGTGACACTGACAGCAGTCCAGGTCACCACCAGGAGATGGACTCATGGAAAGGGCCTGTAGAGGGATAGGTGGTGGCCTCCTTTGTCATCTACCTGCCATAATTTGGGACTCAAGAGAGACAACTGAGGCACTTCTGGATAGCCCCAAAGCAGGCCCTTTTCTTATTTCCCCTCTAGTTTCCCAGTGTCTTTTGGTGACAGGAGACCAGGACAGCTTTTTGTAGAGAGTTTCTACTGGGCCTGGTTGGACAGTGGTAGGAAAATGTCACTGGAGAATCTTTCTAGAGATTCTTTAAGAGTCTTTAAATACATTTAGTTGCTCTTCAGTTTCAAACTGAGTTTAGCCTCTGAGAATCTGGGTCCTACTTCAACTCTGCAGCATTTTGCAGGGGAGAGGCTTGAGCACTCTAGTAACAAAACTCTCTACTGACAGTGATTTATGGGGTGGTTTCCAAATGTTGTCAAGTAGGAGTAGTTGAAAAAAGTAAAATCTAAAGCTTTTAATAGAACTCACAAGGAAAAAAGCCTCAGTTATAAAAGTGAATGTCAGACTGCTCATGTCAGCTGAGCAGCTGAAGTGTGGGTCTTAAAAAAATTAGTGTGTTTGTGAAAACATTTTTGGGATTAAAAGTCTAAAATATAATAGTATC